GTAATAGTAATTGCGTGTGATTCAAATTAACTGTTGACAGTAAGAGATGGTAAAGGATCAAATTTCCATTCATTTAAGATAAGTAGACCAGTACCTCCACCCCTCCAAATCGGGCGAGGGGTGTGGGAAAAAGTCAAATTAGTGGAGAGGGCTGCAGGAGTGGCAGTGTCCTCAGGTTTAAGTCTCAGTTAGGGCCATGAGGTTGAGACTTGAATGAGTAGCAATAGATTAAATAAAGTCTGTTTTATTTATTAATGAGAAGAGAAAAGAAACAAAACACTTACAAGCTGCTGTCCTCTTCTGTTTCTCGACTGCTTCTCCATAAGAAACCAACAATTTGGGAAAAGTTGTTACGTCATTTTTATATCTTTTTTTTTTGGCAATGTGTAGTTCTGTATCTTAATATTAACTTATTTCTGTATACTTTTTTATGGGAACAAAACTGTGACTTCTTTTTCATGTAACACATAGGTCTGTTAATTAATTTCCAAAGATTTTAATAAAATTCTCTACTAATAAGATATAATATCAGTACAAAAGTTTGCTCTTGGCTTAAATTTCTTCAAAAATACTTGCTGACAGCGATATGAATAGGGTATTTTTGACTGTGGGAATTGTTCTTAGATCTTTTGCTGATAATTGTTAATGTTGCATTAGACTCTATGAATAGCCGTGTGGTGGTTATGAAAGAGGTAACTCATGACCCGAAATATCTTACACATTTTTAGCTGCAGAAAATTCAGCAAACATCTTGATTACTTGGCTGCTCATCTAATGACCCTGGCACAGCATTTTGAGAGAAACATTGTTCTCTAAATGAGGAGCACTTACATCAAGATTTCTGGGGTTTGGAATGTTAATCATTTCTGGCTCATACATGGTTTATTTATAATATTTCCACAAAAATATTAAGCAGCACAGCTGTTTTCAACATTCAACAAATCAGCATATTAGTATGATTTCTGAAGGATCATGTGACACTAAAGAATGCAGTAATGATGCAGCTTTGCATCACTAGAATAAATTATATTTTAAAATATAAATATTTTAATTTGTTGTGCTTTTTATTGTATTTTTGATCAAATAAATGCATCTTTGGTGAGCATTAGAGACTTCTTTCAAAAACATTTAAAAATTGTACTGACGTCAAACTTTTGAATGGTAGTGTGCATGAATTTTCTTTTGCATAGGACTTGATCTCAACCTGTGATCCCTTTCAGTACATCCTAATTTTCTTCATTGTCCATTTTTGTCCATGTCTCTACCTCCTACCACCTTCCTCAAGAGGACAAACAACCCCCTTCATTCATACTCCACACCGGATGAGCTCAAAGCATGTCCTTATATGTCCAAATCTCTCAGCTTCAACAGGAAGAGGCAGTTTATTGAAAGTGCAGTCATTGTTTCTGCACCTTATAAATACAATTAATATGTATATCATATGGTATGAACCCCACTGACTTTCATTTTATAAGCAAAAATACTTTTTTCCAAATGATCATCTTTTGTGTTCCACAGAAAAAAGTGAAATCGATCATTTTTGAGTGAACTACTTAAAAATTGTCATCTTCAGTGCATCTTTGTCATTATTCCACCTTTTCATTCCATGATTCATGATTTTTAGAAAGAAAAACCAGTGACTCAACTAGGCCGCAGCTACATAAAAACTCATTAGAGAGTCCCAGCAGCTCTGAGAATCACAATGCAGCGGTTCCAGCCCACTCCGGCCGTGCTGCTGGACACTAGCTGAGGCACGCAGCTCTGAGGATCTGATCTTTATAACGGTGCTGCTGCCAGTCTGTATGGTTTCCGCTAATTGGCCGAGCTCGTTTAGTAATGGTCTCACTTTTCCTCAGCCGCCCCCTCTCTTCCGTAGCTCGCACAATGCCTGGAAGTCGCCTAGACCTACATCTCCCTCTCTGTTTTTTTCTCCTGTTGTTTTCTCTATCTCTCTTTTTTCCCCTCGCACCAAAGACACAATTGATCCAGTCAGCATCAAAACAAATAGGAGCACAAGGACACACACACGCACTCAACACCCTCGTCTAAAAGATACTTCCGACTCGCATTAACAAACACGGTGCATGTTTCAACACAAACAAAGAAAGAATTCAGTAATCGCATAATAACTTCTCAAAGCTCAACACTTATATGCTGTTTTGTGATGGCTGGCATTATTATTTGATGCAAAAAAAAATTATGATCTTATGATATATTTCACTTTAATACATGAAACTGACTGAAATTTGAGAAATTTCTAATAATTTGCATGTATTTGGTTTTAGTTATTTTCATTTGTAATTTATTTAGTCCTAATTTTAAGTAAGATATGTTAAAGATTGCATTTAAAATTAAAATTATTAGTGTTTCTATATGTGATTGTACAATGATGGCAAAGGCAATCGAAATGTAAAAACCGTGGAAATGCACAATTGCAGCAACATCACATCAGCTCAGTTTCATACTAAAATATTATGCAGGTTTAATCAATCATTGCCTGGTGTGCAATGAAAAAGTGAACTAAAATGAATTGATAATTAATATTTTTTTTATATTTTCTTTTTAAAGCTTTGCTCACCAAGGTTATTTGACTACATATACAGTAAAAACAGTAATATTGTGAAATATTATTACAATTTAAAAATTTATTTGAATATATTGTAAAAGGTAATTTATTCCTGTGATGGCAAAGCTAGGTTTTCAACATCTATTAATCCAGTCTTCACTGTTATTAAATTACTACTGTTTTTTAAAGCTGTTTTTTCTATCTAAATGTGATAAACTGTGGAAATGACCATGCACAATTAAATATCAGCTGATAGCAATAAACTGAAAAATCTGTAGCCTAATGCTGGCCAAAAACCATGCAAATGCAATGTCAAAGCAATCATTGCCTGGTGCATGATAAAAGAATGAAAAAAAATGTATTGAAGAAACCTGAAGATGAAAATTTCATACAGACTTCATTATCTTTGTCTTTATGCCCATTGGTAAGTTTTCCCTCCAAACTCTTCATGAACTGTGAGTGAAGAAGGTGAGGTAACTTTCCTCTTGTTTTTGAGCTATTGGAGACCTGCACGGGCCCCCATATCCCCTGTCTCATTCTCCTGCCTGCTTTATTGTCGGATGTCCTGCGCAGGCGTTTCATCCCTGTCTCTGGCTCTGTGTGTGTGTGTATAATTGTGTGTGTCTCACAGGAAGCCTTAAGGGGGGCAGGCGGTGGAGTGGAGGGGGTGTTCCATAGTTCCTGCACATCTGCAGGCTGCATTTCTCTAGGTGTCGCTCAGTTGTTTTTCGGTCGTGAGAGAGGGATATCACCCATATCACTTTTTTTAAAGCTCTCCTATTTCCTTCCGCTCATTGCACATAACAAGCTTTCAGAAGCGCGCGCACACACACACACTCTCTCCTGTCACAGGAAGCCAGACAGAGGTTTCCGGCAACCCTTGAGAGAGGCAGGTGAGGCCTAATTTGGCCGTACCTGCTGACCTGGCTGCATTCATGTTGCTTATCTTTGGTCTGAACTAAGGTTGTGCCCTTTGTTTAGGCCATGTTTACTGTGTAACCTGGTTCAATCAGTCCATTCTAAATTACTTATAGGAAGTTAACTCTCCAGACTCATTTCAGATGGCCTACTTAGATTACTAATGTATCCTCAAAGTACTGGTGTTGATTTAGTTAAGACAAGACTTTGGTGCAATACTTATCCTGTGATGTTTGTGCTATACATGAATGACGTCTCAGTGTAGATATTAAATATGGGAATCCTATATACATATAGGATTTTGATTAATAATATTCTTTTTTTTTTTTGCAAAGCATTTTATCCTCAAATGTAGATTAGTGGATAAAAAAAAGCTGTCGAAAATTAGGAATAAAAAGCTGGGATTTTGTTGGATTTAGTTGATATATAAATATATAAATAATTGCTGTTTACTTAGATATGGCTCTTTTCGTGTTTAGAATGGTTATTATTTATTCTTATGATTTTATTCTTATGATACATATATATATATTCTTTTCTTTATTTGGTGAAGTTGAATGTTGAAAAAAATGAATAATATTATTTACTTTCTGATATTATTATAATTTCAAACTCCTGATCAACAGAAGTAGTACTTTAATTCAGAAAGGATGCATTAAATTGATCAAAAGTGTCAAGACATTGTTACAAAATTGTTGAAATAAATGCTGTTCTTTTGAACTTCCTATTCAGCAACCTTGATGAAAAAAACACTGTTTCATCAAAAATATTAAGCACTAACAGTTTTCGACTGTCATTTGAGCAGAATCATTTAAAAATGTATTTTGCAGCATTATATTGCACAGTTCTATCCAATCTTATATTTATTTGCTTTGTCATTGGTCTCAATCCTCAAAAGACAAGCTTGTCAGAAGAATTCTTATATGACTAAGTTGATGTATTTGCACAAACTTCCTCTGAGACAGTTTCCCTTGTCCTGGACAGAGGCTGGGTCATGCACGTTTGCTTTGGTTAGCTGAACTCCTGGACAGTGTTGACAGGACATGTGACCCGTTGACAATAATCATAAGCCCACGCAAGCCAACACATATTCACACTCTAACACACAAACCTACATTCTCTGAATTCTTCACTTCCATACAAACATCTGCAAAACACGCAACATGCATCAAAAAGCACTCTACCCACTTTCCTGTCATCATTAAACACAACAGAGCTCTAATACACAACTATAAATACTGACACACAGGGGCTTGGAGCCTTTTCCCGCTGAGCTTCCAGCGCGTGGGCAGCAGAGGGGGATTCAGCTTGGTGGTTTTTTCCCCTGATCAGAGACCATCTAGATCCGGACCTCAGTCATTATAAGAAACGCCACAAAACTGACCCAGGAGCAGTGTGAAAAGGCAGCTTCTACTAACACAGGAAAGAAACACCCTGACTGAATGAGACTTCCTGCCCAGCGTTATAAAGGATACTCTCTCTTAGGTCAGACTGGTCAGTTTTTCAGAGACACGCTTGAGTGAGGGAGGTTAGATCGTGTGTGTGTGGCTTGTTTGAAACTGGGATCAGAAGAGAGGGGCTGTAAGAACAGGGTGGCGTGTGTTCTCGTCCCTGCTGGTCGGGGTGAGTTTTCCATTAAATCTTTTTAATGCATATTTAGATTGTATAGATGTTTTCTTGCAGGCAAATAGTTTTACTTTTAGCATATGAATTCCCATTTCCATTTAGTTCCTCAAAAATGTGATGCTTTTTGATTGTTATGCTCCAACCACATGGATCCTTACTCAGTTAAAGAGGTGTTATGAATGAGGTTTCATAATTTTCATGGGTGGAGGCCCATTGTGGACAAAATGTGATGAATGAATGACAACATGGTCATTTTTCCACTGTTCTCAAATTCTGCAGTTAAACTTTTTTACCTTGAATTATTATGATGCATTTGCTAAAAGGTGGTGTGAAATGTAGTAATTTTATTTAAAAAAAAATTGTATAAAGCTTTACTGTCCCCATTAGACGTTTCGCTACTAACTAGACTAATGCAATAGTCAGTGCAACACAACTGTATTTCACAGTTTTGCAGAATGCTTCTGACACCTGCCGATGTGAAGTTGTCGTATCAATGACACTGGTTATAAAATACAATTTTATTTTAAAGATGTTTTACTTGATGCATGTGAATTAGAATGATTTATTTTCTTTATTTTTTTGATGGCAGGTACGAGTAGGGAGCTGGCCTCCCCAGATAGATGCTTTTGAATCAAAATTTGTCATCTTTATCAGGTAAAAATGTGCTTATGTTTACTGAACATATTTTCTGATAAAGCTTCACAGGACCATAATTCATATGACTAGACTTGTTATTTAATTAACCTTAATTAAAATGTTGGCCTATATTTTTAACATTTGATAAATATACAAATTAAATTATAATATTATTCATAATTATCAGTAAGTCCTAATTGGCTTTAAAAGTCTTGTTTTTTTACATTTTGTAAACATGCATATTAAATTATAATATTGTGTATAAAAATCAATGCATATTTAATTTCTATTATATTGTTGCTAACTGCATTTTTTTTCTGAACAGCATAATTAGTTAAAATTGTGGTTGTAAAAATGTTTACATCCTTTATCAAACAGAAAAATTAATGCAAATGGAAGAGGGATACCGAAGCTACTCCGAGCACGCTGCTGCCGCCGATGTGATGGAGGTGAAAGGCTACATTAAGGAGTTCACCCGCCACTCCAACGACGTGTTGCTGAACTTAAATGAACTGCGGCATCGGGACATTCTTACAGATGCCACGCTGCTAGTGGGCACCGCCGAGCTGCACGCCCACTGCGCCGTGCTCATCGCATGCAGGTTTGTCAACAGGGAGTGCCAGGATGTACAGCCAGTCACTTTCTCTCACCCTCCCTCACTCCTTCTGTCCTGCCCCCCCTCGGCCTTTTTTCCTGTTTGTGCCAAGATTTGTCTTTGTTTGAAGACATTAGCACACTCATGCATGAGATCATATTCTTATATCTTTTGTCTCATATCGTAGACACACTTTTTTGTTTTTAGAGTTTGCTGTTGGTTGAAACGTTGTTTCTTTGTTTCTCTTATTAAGATCTTCCACTGTTTCTACATTCAAAGTTTTTTTAATTACATTTTTGAATCCATGTTTGGTTAACTTTTTTCTGCACCTAAGTAAATATGTGTTTTTTCACAGTGGATTCTTCTATACTCTCTTCTCTCGTCGAGCGGCCGGTGCTGGCGGTGAGCGGGGGTTTTCTCTCACCCTGCCGGTGGGGCTGGACGCAGGCAGCGTGTCCCTGCTGCTAGACTTCATGTACACCTCCTGCCTCCCTCTCACGCCCCGGACAGTATCTGATGTGCTCGCAGCTGCCACTTATCTGCAGATGGAGCATGTCGCTGACACCTGCCGAGCATTTATTCACAGGTGAGAATGGGAATGATGACCAAAGCAGAGGCGACACCAGAGACAATGATGCTACAAATCTGGTCAGAGTTTAAACTTTATGCAAATAAACAGCAATGTGACGCATAAACTACCCAGCTAACAAAAATATGTTCTATAGGAACGTTTTGCATTAAGGAAACGTTATTTCAGAATGTTCTCTGGACATTCAAAACATTCCGTTTTTAAATACTCATTATGGAAATGTTGCATTTTAGAATTTTGTAAACATTATGGAAAACATTACTTTTGAATGATCTCTGAACTGCCTGAAACTTGCAAGTAGTAACATGCAAAAAAACCAAAAAACCAAAAAAAAAACCGTAAATAAATAAACACATCCAACATAAAATGTTTCCGAAAAACATTCAGAAATGATGCATAAATATTGTTTCTGTGCTAATGTTCTGAGAATGTTATTAAAGATCGGATAACTTTGGACAAATATTCTATCGGTGCTACTTGAAGAATTTTTGTTCATAAATTTGAGTGAACCTTGCCAGAAAGTTCAGAGAACATTCCCTGTTAGCTGTGTACCAATGATTTCTTAGAATAGAAGGTACAAAGCTGTCACTGGGTCTGTACCCTAAGGTACAAAAGCTAAAAGGTGTATCTTACCCCTAAATGGTACATATTAGTACTCAGTTACATACATATTAGGGGCAGTCGTGGACTAATGGTAAGAGTCTGTAACCCAAAGGTTGCGGGTTCGAGTCTCGGTACTGGCAGGGATTGTAGGTGGGGTAGTAAATGTACAGCGCTCTCTTCCACCTTCAATACCACGACTGAGGGGAGACCCTTGAGCAAGGCACTGAACCCCCAACTGCTCTTCGGGCGCCGCAGCAAAAATGACTGCCCACTGCTTTGTGTGTGTGTGTGTGTGTGTGTGTGTGTGTGTTCACTACTGTGTGTGTGCACTTGGATGGGTGAAATGCAGAGCACATATTCCGAGTATGGGACACCATACTTGGCCACATGTCACATCCTTTCCTTTCCAAAGTGTACATATTAGTACCTTTTGAAAGGGTACTGGCCCAGTGACAGTTTTGCACCTTTTTACCTGATAGTGTTTGAGTGCAGACAGTGATTCACTACCTGATACAGGATTGGATTCCGCAATCAAGTAGTCAAAGAAGCTCAGAAATCACCGGTGATTGTCATTGTGATTGCCCCCCTTTACATTTACATTTATCAGTTCATGCATTCACTGGGAATCAAATCCATGATGTTGGTGTTGCTATAGTGCCATGCTCAGTTTGGTTCTGTATTGTTTCTGATTTTGCAGATTTGTGGCCATCCACTGAAAGTTTGTTCTTTTCTCATTCAGTGAAAGGATCTCTGTCAGTCCTTCTTTGATGGAGCCAGCCTCCAGAACGCCCCTTGGTGGAAGGTCACCCCCTGCTCATCCCACCATCTTTTCCTCCCCCTCCAGGCCTACTGCTGATGCAGAAGATCCCATCCCAGACCGAGCCAGGTAAAAGGGTTATACAGGGATTGTCTAATAATAAGTATTTGAATTGCATTTGAAACTTAAACTGTATCCCATACAAATTTGTATCAAGAAGGCATAAAATGCATTGACTGTATCTACAGAGTTCCAAGTGAGAGCTTTGCCTCGCCAGATCTAGAAACTTGCCTGATTGCTATCCCCAAGTCTCAGACCCCACAATTAGAGGAATCTTCACCTGCAACCCCATCCACACCATCTCCAGACAGTCCTTCTCATTCCAGCGGGCAGCCCAACTCACCTGCTGAGTCCAGCGGCTGCAGTCTGTCTCCCCAGCTAAAGGTGTGTATGTTTATATGTACTCTACCATTCAAGAGTTTGGGGTCAATATTTGTATTTCTTTATTATTATTTTATATATATATATATATATATATATATATATATATATATATAAATTAATATTTGTAATCAGAAAGGATGCATGCAAATTGATCTAAATTGATTACAAAATATTTTCAAAAAAATTCTGTTGTTTTTCAATGTTCTATTCATCAAAGAATCCTGCAAAAAAAGAAACAGTTTCCACAATAATATTAAGTAGCACAATTGTTTTCAACATTAATAATAATAATAAGAAATGTTTCTTGAGCA